TTAATAATTGTGACACTGTTACACTGTAATATAAACTTACTTTATTAATAGTTATGCTTTAGTACTGTTTAACGCAATAAAATGAGGAGTACCAAATTTCATGGGTTATATCTTTCATGTACTAGCTATATTGCATTATGCTCTTTAACAGTGTAGAGTCAGTAGGTCAATGTTAAATTGCCTTGTTCATTTTAAAGCATACTGTATATAAAACAAATAGCTTTAGAACTCACCAACAATACATTTATAATGCATTATACATACAGGCTTGATTTAAAAGTGCTATTCAAATGCTGGAAATGTTTATTTATGTATAAACCTGCACAATGGACTTTTATCTAAGGTTATTTCAAGTCCAAGAAAGTCACCTTTATTAATGCACTAAACAAGACATGTGGAAGCTATTACTGCCTGACTGCGTTCTTTGTGTCCAGTTTACACTGAGGGAATAATTGTCCCTGTGCAGTGAAAGCTGGTCTGATGGCAGGTCATTGTGTACGGTTGCTCTTAGTTTGTTGTTTGGTCTGGTGTTGAGCGTCATGGTACCGGGCTCAATGAAGTGTATGTGTACCCATGCTGGTGGACGGAAAACTTTGTAATCGAGTGTGAAGCACCCTGTCCTGGGAGCTTAGACCAGCAGCTGTTAATAGTCTAACTTGGTCATTAATGAGTGTTTACCCATGTAAATAAACCTTGCTAAGCAGGTTAATTCATTTGTGATGGCCAATGAACTATGAAAGGTACATAATGTGATGTCTCTCAAATGTGGTATATACTGTATATATTCTGTTCAGTGAGGTTTTTAGTTGTCTCAATTACATTTAAATGTATTACATTTTTTTATATTTGTAACATTTGTAATCCATAACAACATGGCATTTATACTGTCGGTCAACAATTTAAATTCTTTAATTTAAAAGGATAGTTCACCCAAAAATGAAAATTCTGTCATTAATTACTCAACCTCATGTCGTTGCAAAGCCGTAAGACCTCCGTTCATCTTCGGAACACAAATTAAGATATTTTTGATGAATTCTGAGAGCTTTCTGACTCTCCCATAAACGGCAATGTAATTACCACGATCAAGGTCCAGAAACGTAGCAAGGACATCGTTAAAATGGTCAATGTGACATTAGGGGTTCAACCGTAATTTTACGAAGCTATGAGAATACTTTTTGTACGCAAAGAAAACAAAAATAACGACTTTATTCAACAATTCGTCTCCTCCGCGTCACCCTGGTGCCATTTTGGAGAATATCCACTGAACGTAAACAGCGTATGCTGTTCTGTGTCAGCTTCGCCACGCGGATACGTTGTTTTCGGTCAAGTCAAAGCGTAAACAACGTAGAACGTGACGCAGCTGACACAGAATAGCATACGCTGTTTACGCTGAGTGGATACTCTCCAAAATGGCGCCAGGGTGACGCGGAGGAGACGAATTGTTGAGTAAAGTCATTATTTTTGTTTTCTTTGCGTACAAAAAGTATTCTCGTAGCTTCATAAAATTACGGTTGAACCCCTGATGTCACATTGACCATTGTGTTTGCTGTGTTTCCGGACCTTGATCGTGGTAATTACATTGCTGTCTATGGGAGGGTCAGAGAGCTCTCAGAATTCATCAAAAATATCTTAATTTGTGTTCCGAAGATGAACAAAGGTCTTACGTGTTTGGAACGACATGAGGTTGAGTAATTAATGACAGAATTTTCATTTTTGGGTGAACTAACCCTTTAATTCGGCTCATTCTTTCTTTACATAAGAATCGTCTAAATATCTTAAAACCTTAATAAATATACAAAATATTATTTATCTTCCTTATATTATTTTTATTTTTTGATTACATAGCTTTCTCCAAAGTAGCCAACCATTTAAAAAAAAATAACTTTTTTATTAATTATAAATTTTCTTTTAAAGAAATTAATGCTTTTTATTCAGCAAGGATGCATTAAATTGATCAAAACTGACATTTACAATGTTACAAAAGATTTCTATTACAAATAAATGAAAAAAAAAAACTTTATCATGCTTTCCACAAAAAATATTTAGCATCACTACTGTTTTAAACATTAATGTTGAGAAGCAATGTTTCATGAGCACTCGGCAGTAATGGCAGACTCGGCAGTAATGACTGCTGAAAATTCAGCTGTGCCATGCCATCACAGGAGTAAATTACATTTTAAAATATTTTAAAGACAAAACAGTTACTTTAAATTGTAATAATATTTCACAATATTGTTTCACAATAACTCTTTTTACTGTATTTTTGATCAAATAGCCAAAACTCCCCAAACTTTTGAACAGTAGTGTATGTTTTATGAAATTAAATACCATTTATTTTATAAAAGTAATTTGAAGCATTTACACTTTAAGCCGTTAGATCAAATGGTCTTTAAAATCATAAGAAATATTATCATTTAAGTGACCTTTCTATCTGATATTAAGTTAGTATGGAAAGCTTAAGTGAGACTATGCTTTATAAAATTATGATGTTTATATTGATTTTGGTGGTTGAATTATTAAACACTATTTGAGACTGGCCTCCAACTTTTAGGACTTTGTTCTGTTTTCATTTGTTCGCAGGAACAATACGAATTGTTCTTAAATGAGAATATTATCACACAGCAATCCCATTGCTGTACTTTGAGATGCATTGGGTGGGCCTGTGTTGTAGTGTGACTCACAGTTCATAACAACATCTGCAGGTCTAAGTTTAACCTATACAGTACAATATAATGAAACCACGCGTCAAACTATAGCTCCTTGATAAATATTTTCATCCTTGATCAAATAATAACACAGAAAATGTTCTGTATTATTGGCAGAGTAGATTGTTTAAGAGAAGAATACAGTATGGAGCTGATGTGTGTTTAAATGAGTCCTGCTCCAGGAATGTTTCTGTGTGGTTTATAGCTGGGTGGTGGATTCAGGTGCTGGGTAGAGTCTGTAGTACTCTCTCTGTACTGAGTGTGACGCAGATGGAAATGTCTGCTTTGCATTTGATTCTTTAACACCATACTTAGCTCAAAGAGTTCTTTTTTACTTTTTGAACAGTTGAAAGCATTATCATGTTGTCTAGTGTCCTTCTCACCAGCAGTACAGCGATTATGTAAATGTAGTGTTTACTGTGTATTGTTTATGGCCCTAATGAAGAAGTGTTTAATTGTCAAAATACTTTATTTTCTATACTTAATATATTATAAGTTATAAATTCATTTTTAAAAATAACTAAGTTAAGCCATTTGAGTTAGATTCCCTTAAAAGTGTAAACACTGAGGCTTCATAACAAAAAAAAAAAAATCAATAAAATAATGGGAGTTCCCATTATGCATATTTAGTTTATGATTGCTCAGTGTTATTTGTAAAATTGGTCATTTCATCTTTGGACCGCATTATTGCACAATAATATTTTAAAGGTTGCAATTGCAATTATATTGTACTAAATATGCTTTCCAACACGCAGGCAGGGTGGATCTGTTAGATGTAACTATAATAAATCCACTGAGATATTTATGAGCTGGAAAATGTTGACCTGTTGATAATGAGAAAATATGATGGTGGTAATGGTAGTGTTTTATCTCCATTGTGATAAAATAAAGGTTTTCCCTGGAGAAGAGATCTATTATAGCAAAGATTAGATTCTGGAAGAAAGTTAGTTAGACCATGTGAACAATATGACCTGACCTGTCATTATTTGATCATTTTTTATCCATTGGGTTTTTAGAATCAATGCAAAGAAAATCAGAATCATGTCATCCCTTGTGAAACAAAGTAGTGCACTTAATTGTATTGAATGCATTAAATGTATTCAAATTCTTAAAAAATATACTTGTAATATGATATTAATGAAGCAAAAAGGCTACTTAAGTGTACTTAATTATTTATATTTATGAAATTACATACCTGTATAAAGATTGGGTCAAAAAATAACTGAAAATTTAGCCAAATGCATTTAATATACATTTAAACTATAATATGTTTTCTTTTAATTGCAGTTAATATGCAGTTAAGTGTGTGAAAACATATTTGGTAATGTTTAGGGAAGCAACTATACCATTTTTTCAGATACGATCCGATCCAGAAAATTCGGAGTATCGGCTGATTTCGATCCGATCCGATCCGATACAGCGCAGTTTTTTTTAAATCAATGTAGAATTTCTATACTTCTGTGTGTTGACCTGATCGTCACTCATTTGTGTGTTAAACACAATCTACTAAATATAGACAACTTCATTTTAATGAAAAATAACATGAAAAAATATATCATAATCTATGACAAAAAATGCTCAGAGAAGTTCAAAGCGCAAAAGAAAGAGATATTGATGCGTAGTTTATTAAATCTGTGCGATAGTTTATTGAGCTTTTTCTTTTAACAGTTTTACATTTCAGTTACTGTGCGCTCTTGAAGAGAGTTTCATTGTTTTGACTGTCGTAACCAAACGTGACCCGCAGTGTGAATGCTGAATGCATGGAGGATGACAAACAGCTGCAGCGGAGAGAAGAGTTTACGTGAACTTGAATTTAACGACTTAAATATTCATCTGTACCTCACATTAAACTATGGAACGGCTTCAGAACACTTGGACTTTGACTTTATGGTGCTTTATAATGTTTTTGTGGTTTCGTGAGGCTTAACAATAACACAGAATACGCAGAACATCGGATTTGGATCGGTCTCCTCTGACCGATACCCGATCCGGCAGAAAATGCCAGTATCGTAGCCGATACCGATACTGAGTATCGGATCGACGCATCCCTAGTAATGTTATATTCATTTAAAGTATATTATTTTTATAATAAGTGCTCTTTTTAAAAGTATGTTCAAGTTTACTTCTTTTTTGCAGGTAATAAATATCCATACGTGTTCTGAGCATGTAGGCACCTCTTATGTTACATACTGGTACTTTTGTGTTTTAACACAGTGTACCTTTAACTTAGAAATGTTTATTTTGAGTTTGTCATTGAGTATCTCATATTAATTTTTTTTTCCTCTGTTCCCACAGTTCTATGTGCTGATCGAGTGGGCCAGATGACTAAGACGTATAATGACATAGATGCTGTGACACGTCTCCTGGAGGAGGTAAGCCATGGGAAGTGGGAGGATGGGTATTTTTTGGTGTAAAGCGTGGCCCACATGTTGTGATGTAGGTCTTTCAGTGTACCATAGTAGTTCATGATTACATAAGTATCATCCACAGTCTTGATGATGTTACCATACGTTTTTGAGAGATTGTAATTATTGTGAACTAGATATAATATCCAGGATTCTGTAAAACGTAGTAATAAAGTCTCTGAAAGTCTCAAGCTGTCCAAAATTAACACAGACTAAGGGATTGTTTGATTGTGAATTTGAGCTAAACAGAGAACATATAGGGTCACTTTGTGTTCCTCAATTCAGAAAGAGCGGGATTTGGAGTTGGCGGCTCGTATTGGCCAGTCTCTGCTGAAAAAGAACAAAACCCTCAGCGAGAGGAACACCTTCCTGGAGGAGCAGGTGGAGCACATACGAGAAGAGGTAAGAGAAGAAAACCGAAAAGTGAGACAAGCCTGTTGGCTAATGTCATTTTTTTTTTAAATAAATTTAGTGGTGCCGAGATTACACTGGAATAAATAACTTTAACTCTAAGAACCATGTCAGCATGAAATGGTTTTTCAGGACGATATGGTTCTAAAGTATTACTATGTGTAAAGAACCTTTAAAGAACATTATTTTTTAGCAGCATAAAACAGATTTAATCTAAAAACATTCTATTTGAGTATTTTACAGTTATTGTTGCATGCATACTGTGAATGTTTGTATGCTTCCATGCAGGTGTCTCAGCTGCGTCATGATCTCTCGATGAAGGATGAGCTCCTGCAGTTCTACACAAGTGCAGCTGAGGAGAGTGATGGAGAATCTGCTTCTACCACACCGTGAGTCCATGTATTAAAGGGATAGTTCACCCAAAAATTAAAACGCTGTCATTAATTACTCACCCTCATGTCGTTCCAAACCTGTAAACCTGTAAGGAACACAAATTAAGATATTTTTGATGAATTACGTGAGCTCTCTGACCCTCCCATAGACAGCAAGGATCCTTTCACGATCAAGGCTTAGAAACATAGCAAGGAGATCACTAAAATAATCCATGTGACATTAGTGGTTCAACCGTAATTTTACGAAGCTACGAGAATACTTTTTGTGCGCAAAGAAAACAAAAATAACGACTTTATTCAACGATTTGTCTCCATGTCACCCTATAGCGCCATTTTGGAGAGTATCACATACGTAAACAATGTATGCTGTTCTATGTCAGCTGCATCTTACACGGATACGTTGTTTACGCTTTGATCTAAACGTAAACAACGTATCCGCGTACATATGTTGTTTACGTATGTGATACTCTCCAAAATGGTGCTATAGGGTGACGCGGAGGAGACGAATTGTTGAATAAAGTCATTATTTTTGTTTTCTTTGTGCACAAAGTATTCTCATAGCTTTGTAAAATTACGGTTGAACCCCTGATGTCACATTGACCATTTTAACGATGTCCTTGCTACGTTTTTGAAAGGATCCTTGCTGTCTATGGGAGGGTCAGAGAGCTCTCGTAATTCATCAAAAATATCTTAATTTGTGTTCCGAAGATGAACGAAGGTCTTACAGGCTTGGAACGACATGAGGGTGAGTAATTAATGTAATGAACAGAATTTTCATTTTTGGGTGAACTATCCCTTTAAGTTTGAACGATACCTCAAACTGTGGAGTTCTATGATTTTTCTGTTTTGCCTGAAAATTATACAAATATTTATTTTCAGTGAGGAGATTTCCATGTACTGAAGTAGGCACATCTGTCTATGATTTTTTCTTTGCAGTATTCGCAGAAATGACTTGTCTTTCACGGTCCCGAATTACCTCCCTCTGGATTCACTGCAGAAGAAACTCAAAGACCTGGAGGAAGAGAACATCATCCTGCGATCGGAGGTGAGAGAGTGAGGCCTGACCTCGCATCCTTCAGCTGCTCATAAGAATGCTTTGCATAACATTATTCAAAAAAGCCTCCAATCAAACTTATCAGAGTTTCAGGCATATCACATTTCCAAGACAAACACATATGTAATGGCTTCATTCTCAGATAAAGATATTTATCCATTGTTTATTCAGATCACGTGTGTGTGTTTATAGGCAAATCACTTGGAGACAGAGACCATCTCGTATGAAGAAAAGGAGCAACAGCTTGTAAATGACTGTGTTAAAGAGCTCAGTGAGTAGACCCACCTATTACACCATCAACGATCATATTCCCTCAAAATGATATTAAACTGATATTACATAATCATCCTACACTAGTTAAATTCATGTATGCTATTCATTACCTTATTGTTCTATCCTTGTAGTATAACAGTTTAGTTATTAATAACATGAACTGCACATACTGAGGGGCTAATCTATAACTTGCTTTGAATGGGGATTGGGGACTTTCCATGGTTTTTGTTTACCAAGGGTGAGTTTGACACATGAAGTCTATCTCTTCCCCTTTAGGAGATGCTAATATACAGATCTCCACGATTGCGGAGGATCTGGCTAAGAAAACAGAGGATGCCTCTCGCCAGCAAGAGGAAATCACACACCTTCTCTCTCAGATCGTCGACCTGCAGAAAAAAGCCAAATCTGTGAGTTCTCCTCACTGTACAGTAGACGTGATTAATACACGGATCTTTGGTTTAAAATTGGTCATAGAACACAAAATATAATGTTATAAATCTAAAACTATATTAAAAAACGTGGGAAGGTTACTTTAGAAGTGCAATCGGTTACAGATTGCAAGTTAGCCTATTTAAAATGTAATAAGTAGTGTAACTATTTCAGTTACTTTATTAAAGTAATGTAACTGATTACTGATTACATTTCTAATGTATGTTTTCAACTGTTAATCATTTTAAAACATTTAAAGCAGGCCGGGTTAACCTTACAGTAGTACTCAACACTGATTACTGTCAAGACTTGCCAAATCCTTCATCACTTGAATTAGGATTATAATAATTTAATTTTAAAGCACAGAAATCAGACTTTAGAACCTCTTTATACTGTGAGATGCTTCTGAGGTTAAATACAGATTTCAAATTCTAACAAGAAATAATTGAATAGCTATGATAATGTTTAAAAAATCTAATCTCTGCATAGCTATGTCAGGAAACACTGGCATCTAACAATGCCTTGGGGAAAAAAACAGTTAATCTTAATAAATAGCAGGGGAAAAGCCTTTTTGTTATTATTATTATTACTGGTACATTTTAGTAGTAATAATATTAAGATTGTTTTAATATGAATATTATTTATGTATTTGTTTGTTTGTTTATTTATTTAGCTTGACAAATTTTCTGTAGTGTGATACTGTATAAGAACCAAAATTAATGCTGCTGTGTTCAATATGTATTGCTGCTAAGCAATGTATTAGTGAAACATAATCTTGACTGTTTTGTCTTTGGTTCTCATTTCAGTTAGTTTGTTGTACTGTCAGTTATAGGAAGCATTAGTTCTGTCTTAGTAATCAAGTGTAATATTTGTTATTTGTTATTTGTTGAGTATGCACTAGAAAACGAAGAGCTCACTCAGCATCTGGGAGCTGCTAAAGACGCCCAAAGAGCACTAACAGCAGAGGTAACACATGTACTCAAACGCACCAGCATATTCACATACTGTAATTCAGCTAAAATGCCACCATATAACAGTTAATGATTAACATAGGTGTGTGTTATCCTTTGAATTGTTTGATTTGAATTGAAACCCTGATCTGACTGATTAAATGAATTTTACTGCTGTTTTCACCTGCTATCAGTCTCTTTATCTCAGTCTTTATCTGTTTCTTTCTGTAGCTGAGGGAGCTGGAGGATAAGTATGCTGAATGTATGGAGATGCTTCATGAAGCTCAGGAGGAACTGAAGAACTTCAGGAATAAAACGCTGCCTCTCAGTACACCGCGACGATTCCACTCGCTCGGCCTCTTCCCCATGGTGAGAAATGGAGAACAACAAATTAATTTAATGTATTATTAATTTGTATTATTTTCACAAATTGTTGACTTAGTATGTACTAAACAGTAAGCAGTACACTAGTATGCTAAATATACTAATACACATACAATATCACTGTTATTCACTGGCTAATGGTGTGCCTTGTGTGTAACAGGACTCTTTAGCTGCTGAAATTGAAGGCACCATGAGGAAAGAGATTCAAATGTCTGATCCAGACGTAGAGGAACAAAGGTGTGTTAGTGTCTCATATCCTGCATGAGTTACGAATTTGCATGCCGAGTCAGTTTCAGAGGAATTTTAAATATATTCTAATCTCTGTTACAAGGCATTTTATGTTTATTTTTTATTTTTATTTTTTAGCTTACTGGTTAAAGATCTGAGCTGATAACAGAATGGTTGTAGGTTCAAATCTTCTAAGGATGACACTGACCTCTGTACATGCTTGTCTTCTCCTTTTGGTCAGGTTGCACCCTAAACGTGTCTTTGAAACAGTGCGTAACATCAACCAGACTGTTCGGCAGCTCTCCATGGGCCCGTCCCCTATGAACATCCCAGGGTCCAATCAGACATCCTGTGTGAATTCCAGGCGTTCTAGTTGTCTGAGCACACCCAGATCGAGCATGTACGGAGGGGATGGTGTTGAAATGGACAACCGCACTAACAGTATGCTGATGGAAACCCAGTCAAATCAGGATGGGTAAGAGCATCAAACGTGGTTTTAAACCATAAATGTTTAAGCAGTATGATAGAAATGCGTTGTGTGTGTTTGCTTAACTACTGTTTGTTGACCAATTTTTGTTTGGGGCTTGGTAAATGCACCAAGACTGCATTTATTTGATCAAAAATACTATAAAAACATACTGTAATATCGTGAAATATTGTTATAATTTAAAATAACAGTTTTCTATTTTAGTATATTTTAAAATATATGAACAGCATTTACTGTATGTGAACTTTTTTAGGAGATGTCTTTTTTTTTGTCAATTTAATGCATCCTTGCTAAATAAAAGTATTAATTTTTTTCTTTGGAGAATAAAAAAACTTTTGAACTAGCATATATGCACTACCGGTAAAATGTTTGGAATAGTTACAAATTTAATAAATGATAATAATTGAGCACCAAATCAGCACATTAGATTGGTTTCTGAATAATAATGTCACTGAAGACGAGTGTGATGGCTGCTGAAAATTCAGCTTTGCCATCACAGAAATAAATTGCATTTTAAAAATATATTACAGTAGAAAACCATTCTTTTAAATTGTAAAAAATGTTTTGCAGTATTCCTGTTTTTTTTTTTGTTTTTTTTTTTGGATCCAATACATTCATCCTTGGTGAGCATAAGAGACTTATTTCAAAAACATTCAACTATCTTTAAATTATATATAAGTTTTTTGTTTGTTTGTTTTAAAAGGTTTAGTTTGTCTGTTAACCTGTAGTAACTATAACTACTACTATATTGATTATTGATTAATCTTTAAAAACTCTAATAACTAAAAATGGATATCCATTTTTCCATACTTGTAGATTGACTTTAGTGTAACTTGTGTTCTATTTATTTAGAAAAATATATATAGAATTTCAGCCTTTTGTCATATATTGCAGTTATACTGTAACGTGAAAATAATTATTAGCTGACTGTCTTTGTTTGCAAGAACATTAATATTGATTTATTGGTTCTATTTATAGTGCCCCTATTATGGGTAATGAAAGGTTCATATTTTGGTTTTGGGAGTCCCCAACAACAGATTGACATGCATGCAAGGTCAAAAACACTTTCATTGTCTTATAATATGCATTTATTTTTACCTTATTTGCTCAACGACTCCCAAACGATTCGCTCAACGATTAATTTTTCCAAACCCCTCCTTTGCGTGACGCTAATCTGCGGTGATTGGTCCGATTGGTCTCATTTTAATGTCATCATGCCTGTACTGCCTGATAAAGCAGCGTTTGTGAGCGCAGTGCTGCTTTGTGTACAGCATTACCGGGGAAACCGCTATTTTTACCGCTCCAAAAGCCACACCTAGTGGCAAAGAATGAATTTGCATTTTCATTCAGACCAACGCGAAAAGACCAGCAAGTGGGCGGGCTATATGCTAATGTTTCACGTTGACGTCAACATGAAACGGCTTGGGATTCGATTTAAAAACGACTCGTTCCAATGATTCAGAGTCGACTCTTTCTTTTGAGATACAATAACTTTGTAAACGGTGCACTTTCAGATTTAAAACTTTGCAGGATGTTTTCTTTCACTTAGAGCTGTGTTACACACTACATGAAAGGTCATTTTCAAAAATCCATAATAGGGGCACTTTAAAACAATAGAATTTGTTACATCTTGGGGGTGTATGTGGGGGGAGGGGTGTAAGTTCTTTATTAGTGGACATTTGTATTGTTTGTATTGTTTGATTTTCTTATCTGTAATATTTGTTCCAGCTCTGATGACTCCAACAGAAAGCCTGGCACGCCTGGCACACCTGGCTCCCGTGACCTGGAGGCGGCACTGCGGCGTCTTTCCCTTCGACGGGACAACTACCTTAGCGAGCGGCGTTTCTTTGAGGAGGAGAGAGAGCGTAAACTCAACGCCCTGGCAGAAGAGAAGAGCGACTTGTACGAGGAGAGAGATGGTGGGAGTGGCAGTGAAGACGGCGGCCCCCTCACTCCGGCAGATAGCATCATGTCTCTGGGAACCCTGCACTCGGTTTACTCCATCTACAGCACCCGATCCTACCTGCCGGAGAAACTCCAGATCGTCAAGCCTCTGGAAGGTGACCGAGCCCAATCCAGGCCTTTCACCCTCTTATTGTTTGATGCTTTGTGGGCGTTAATGCACCACAGTGCTGAGGACCTGTCTACACAACACTCCTTCTATTTCAGACACACACAACCTCGCTGCTGGTTTGAGATTTAGACGCCTCACACTATATATACACACTACTGGTCAAAAGTTTGGAATGAAGAAGATTTTTTTTATGTTTTTAAAAGAAGTCTCTTATGCTCGCCAAGGCTTGTGTTTATCAGAAATGCAGTAAAAAAAAAAAAAAAAATTAAATATTTAAAATACTAGTAGTAATACTTCAGTATAGGGACCAATTCTCACTATTAACTAGTTGATTAATAGCATGCCTATTATTAATATTTTGGCTGTTTATTAGTGCTTATAAAGCACATATACTGTATGACCATATCCTACATCACTAATCCTACCCAATACCTAAACTTAACAACTACCTTGCTGACTATTAATAAGCAGCACATTAGGAGTTTATTGAGACAGAAGTCGTAGTTAATAGTTTGTTAATAGCGAGAATTGGACCTTAAAATAATGTGTGACCCTATTTTCTATTTTAATATATTTTAAAATGCAATTAATTCCTTTAATTTTCAGCAGCCATTATTCAAATCATCAGTGTCACACGATCCTTCAGAAATGATTCTTATATGCTGGTTTCGTGCTTAAAGAAATTATTATTATCAGTGTTGAATATATTTTTTGCTGCTTAATCTTTTTGTGGAAACCATGATGCAATGCCATTCAAATGTTTTGGCAAAGTAAGATTAAAAAAAGAAAGAAAGAAAAAATACTTATAAAAATGACAGTTATACATTTATAATGTTACAAAAGATTTCTATAACAATAGAAAACACTTCTTAATGTTTCTAACTTAATCAATTTTCACAATATCACTGGTTTTACTGATCATATAAATGCAGTCTTGCTGAGCATAAGAGACTTTTCAA